TGCATTGTATAGCACATATAGTGTATTTAACTTGCGTCTGGATAGCATAGAGGACTGTGGGGGTTCGGCGGCTTGGCGCAGCAGGGCTTCAATGCCGGGCAGTGGCGCGGCAGGGTGGCGCACAAGTGCCAAGCCGCCACCGTATGACCGTATGATCCGTATGATTCGTATGACTCGGCGGGCTGGCGTGGCTTTGATGCCGGGCAGGTGGCGCGCCAGGGAGGCTTCTATGCCAGGTTGCCATTCTTGAGGCAAATTTGAATTGTCTTGAAGCAACGATGGCGCAACATTGGATCAATAATGCGCAGCCCGGAGCAGCGAACTGCGCAGCGACTGCAGCGACAGCTGCAGACTGCGCCGCGCAAAAGCGCGAACATAGAACATCGCACCTCTCTCTTTAGAGGGGGTTTCCCAAATGGATTCTATTCTACCTGACAGGCTCCTGGCACTCGTCCGTCCAGGAAACGACCTCGTCCTGCAAAGGATTCGAAACCTAAAGCGCTGCGTGCAGGCGTGTGGCTGCAACATAACGACCCCTAGATATGCGGTTTGGCAAAATGCCCCGCAGCTGCCTTTGTTTCTGCAAGGCGAGCCCCCTCAAAGGAAACCCTGGCTGGCTTCTGGCTGGCTTTTGGCTGGGTCTGGTTGGCTCCTGGCTGGCTTTTGGCTGGCTTCTGGCTGGGTTTTGCTTCTGGCTTGGCTGGTGGGTTTGGCTGGGTTTTGGCTGGCTTCTGGCTTGGCTTTGGCTGGCGGGTTTGGCTGGGTTTTGTCTGGCTTCTGCCTGGGTTTGGGTTTTGGCTGGCTTCTGGCTGGGTTTGGTTGGCTCCTGGCTGGCTTCTGGCTGGGTTTGGTTGGCTTCTGGCTGGGTTTTGCTTCTGGCTTGGCTGGTGGGTTTGGCTGGGTTTTGGCTGGCTTCTGGCTTGGCTTTGGCTGGCGGGTTTGGCTTTTGTCTGGCTTCTGCCTGGGTTTTGGCTGGCTTCTGGCTGGGTTTGGTTGGCTCCTGGCTGGCTTCTGGCTGGGTTTGGTTGGCTCCTGGCTGGCTTCCTTTTTTTCCCTGTTTTTTTAGCTCGCCTTGCAGGACGAGGTCGTTTCCTGGACGGATGAGTGCCAGGAGCCTGTCAGGTAGAATAGAATCCATTTGGGAAACCCCCTCAAAAAAGAGTCATGGAGCAGTACGCCCGGAGCCCCAAGCTGCCTTGGCGTGCCAGAGAGACGCTTTGCTGGTCGGCGTGGACGTGGTGCGCTGCAGGCGCAACGGGCTGGCCAACGCCCCCTTCCCCCTGCCGATCTTGCGCCCGGCCGACGGCGTTGAGCCCGTGGAGGCAGTGCTGCCGGACCTGGGCTTTGTGGAGGGCTGCTGCAACGCGAGGCAGTGCCTGAATTTGTCGCCGTACGTGGGGCCCGGCTGGTACCCAAAGGTTTCGTTGGCTGCGACGCTGGAGCTGGGCGTCTGCCACTGAAACCACATCGCGTCGGGCATCTCCGCGCGGAGCCATGTCGACGCGGCGACGCTGCGGCGCGCGCTGGAGCGGATGGACAAGGCCTGGCCCCTATTCTGCAAGAGAGTCCAGTATGCGACTAGTGGAGGAACTGAGAATGGATGTCGGGATTATTCCTGTAAGGCGCTCTGCTGCTCTCCTTTTGTAATGGCTGCAGAATGAGTACTGCGGTGCCTATGATACAAGAGGGGCCTTGAGCCAAAATCACAATATTTGTTCCAGGGTCAACATGCGAAGCAAAAGCAACACAGAGGGGGTGGTGGGGCAATGGTTTCGTGGTCGTCAGAGCGCAGGCTGCCCTGAAGCATTTTTTGATTCCAGCGTTTTCATATCCTTGCCCGTTGCCTCGGCTTTTGCCTTCATCATTTTGCTTCGACTAGCAAAACGCTGCGTCTTTTCTTGACACCAATCCCGTGCTGCACTCCTTTCTCTTACCGACGCTTGGTTGGCTGGACCAAGCCAAGGAGGTTTTCAGTCAACCTGCCAATTCCAATCCCGTGCTTGCATTCGTGCAGAACACTGCTGCGCAAGAAGATCGCTTTCCCACGCTGTGAAGTTCGCTGCCTGCGCTGGCCGGCGCACTGGCTGCCGGCTCACAGGTCTGCGCTTTTTGGCCCTTGGCCTTCGTTTGTCTACGATGCTGCTCTTGTTCTTTCCAAGCGCCTGCTACGGCTGTCTTTGGAGCCCATGTCTTCATCACCAGATGCCACTCTCGCTCGCGTTCTCCGCCCCGTGGTACTCCATCTCGTCGTCGCTCGGCTGTGCCAGTGTTGGATTCACCGGAGATTAGACTCGGCCGCTTGAATTCAGTTGGCAGATTTCTTGTGTGCTTCTTTTTGATGGCGTTTCAATAGTCAATGCTGGCACTCAATGCATAGACCGCAGCTGGCAATCTCTCAAATATGACTGGATGCCTCGCAAGATCAAGACCACGACAAAGTCGATGGACATAGCAAAATGTCTGAGGATGTGCCTCGCCTGGTGTTCCAGTGGGTGCGGCGCAAACACGTTGGTCCAAAGAGGCGGCACAAGTTCTTCAAAGAGCTGCAAGAGCTTGTGCAAGGATAAACGCAATGCTGCAGTGTGTGGCTGACATCTCCCAAAGCCCAGTCGGATTCGGCCAATAGTTTCGGGCTTTCAACTCCTACTGAAAATGAGCATGGGTGCGGATGTATTTTAGGATTTTTTCGTTTTTTTAAAGGACTTTTTTCGTTTTTTGTCCGGCCAGTAAAATGTCGTATTTTACAGCATTGTCTTGCATTTTACACTAGCCCGTCAACATCCCCAGCATCGTTTTCAACATCCCCCGCATGCCCGACCAACATCCCCACCAACAAATCGTGGGTAACAAAATCCAAAAAGTAGCTGGCGGGTTGACGGGGTCAAAAAAAAGGCTTCAAACAGGAGGGCATTTCAACCCCAGCAAAAAAACAAAAAACTATTCTATATTTAAAAAAAAGAGCGGGGGGGGTGTTGGGGGGAGCGGCAGCCCCCCCCCATGATGGTCGCAGAAGTGATGATTCGAACAGGGGTGCAATTAAATCTCTGCAAAAAAACTTAAAACTAGCGGGGGGTTTTAGATCTCTGTCGAAAATCTAAAACGTAGCCGCCCCCCATGATGTCGGAAGAAGTGATGATTCAAGCAGGAGTGATTCAAGAAAGGGTGTGATAGAATCTAAAAGCGCGGGGGTGGCTTCCCCTATGATGTTCGAAGAAATTGCAGCATTTTCTTGCTAAAATTGGACGCTCGCAAAAGTGATGATTCAAACAGGGGTGCAAAATGTTGTTTCTTACAGCAGTTTCTCGCGAAATTGACGCATTTTACACTAGCCCGTCAACATCCCCAGCATCGTTTTCCCTAGCATCACCAGCAAATCGTGTGACGGGGTCAAAGAAATGATGATTCAAGTAGAAGGGCATTTCATTCCTGTAAAAAAAACCTAAAAAGTAGCGGGGGGGTTGCGGGGGGCAGCAGCCCCCCCCATGATGTTGGCGGGGTTGGGGGGGGGCGGCAGCCCCCCCCCCTGATGTTCGAAGAATTGATGCTTCAAGTCGGGGTGATTCAAGAAAGGGTGTGATAGGATTTAAAAGGCAGCGGGAGGGTTGGCGGGGGTGGCTTCCGCTATGATGTTCGAAGAAATGCATACATACAGACATATATGGATTACACAGATTACCTAAAATGTCGTATTTTGCAGCATGTTCTCGCGAAATTGGACGCGCGAAAAAGTCATGATTCAAACAGGGGTGCAATTCAATCTCTGCAAGAAATCTAAAAACTAAAGGGGGGGAGGCGGCAACCCCCCCCCATGATGTTTGAAGGAGATATTCAAGTAGGGGTGCACTTACTCTGCAAACAATCTAAACAGTAGCGGGTGGGTTGGGGGGAAACCCCCCCCCCCATGATGTCCGAAGAAGAGATGATTCAAATAGGGTGGTGGCGATGCTGATGATGCGGGAAGCCAAATCCAAAAACCAATGGCAAAAAAGAAAAGCCCAAAAGCCAAAACGTCACCTGCCGAAGAGGAACTGGGAATGCAGAGGATGCGAAAAGCCAAAAAGCCACCAAGCCGAAAAGCCCAGAAGCCCAGAAGCCGAGAAGCCAAGAAGCCGAAAAGACAAGAAGCCAAGAAGCCAAGAAGCCAAGAAGCCAAGAAGCCAAGAAGCCAAGAAGCCAAGAAGCCAAAAGTGAGAAAAAAAGAAAAGAAAAAAAAAAGGGGGAAAAAAAACGAGAAAAAAACATCCTAAAATTAATACCCCTCCAATGAGCATTTCGCCTAGGCCAAAACGCGGAACATGATCAGCAACTGCGCACAAAGCCAGTAGAGTTTGATGGTTCAAGTGAGAGTTCTGGTGCTCAAGGTGACTGAAACACCACGGCATTCTACACACCGTGGACCGGGTAATCAGGGTGGGTGTAGGGTTCAGAGTTTCAGGGCGTAGGGTTTGTGGTTTCAAAGGTTGGGGTTGGGGCCAGGGCGATGTGTTTTGCCTTGAATATTGCTCTTGGCTTCTGCCAGAAAACTCCTAGTTGCTACCAGGATGGAACGGGTGGGGTAAGCACAGCGCTTGGTAGTGTACTTTCAATGCGCCTGCCACGATTTTGAGAGGTGTCCGAAGGCTCGCCCGCAACGTCACAACCCCTCGCATGACACTGCCTGGTGTCGCAACAGCTTGAGGCAGGCGCACTTGGGATGTTTGTCTGCATGGAGACAGCATGGCGAAGGCCAGAGCAGCCGTGTGCATCTTCAATTAATGTTGACCCGCATCAATCAACCACAGTGTAATAGTAGGGGGGTGTTGCCCTCGAAAAGTGATGATTCGCCACTGAACCCAGAGACCCCACCCCCTCTATTAGCGGTTGATTAATCTGGGGTGAACAAGATTCCATGTAAAAGTCTCTTCTCAAACATGCCTTGACGTGTGGCAAAATAGCTTTGAGCCTGTGGTGCTCGGCTGAAAATGTAAACAAGCCGCACCGCAGCCTGCAGAGGTCCCAGCCTTGAACGAAGCTGGCGGCTCTCCCGTGTTGCCCATTCGGTACCATTCCAACCGCCGCTGCTTGTCCATCCGCCTTCAAGACTCTGAGACAGCAAGTTTAGTGACTCGAGATATGCTCTCCTATGCTCTCCTTAAAACACCTAGGACCCCTTAGGACACTGGCCTCAAAGCATCGTCATAAAGGCGGTCAAAGCAGGTATAGTCCGGATCACTCATGGTCGACGCCAACTTGGAGGCGATTAAAGCAGCGCGAGCGTGCCAAGTTTGCAAGCCCTATGGCTTAAGCCGTCAACTCCAGCTTCCTCGAAGAGCTTCTTGATAATGTCACCTTAGATGCTATCAAGTTCACTTGCAAACCTTGGCGAACCACTGACGCTGCTTGCTTTAACTTACATCTTGCTCGTGGACCACCAGTGGCGATGGCAAGTTACGTTTGACAGCAAGGAGAACAGGGTGGCGCTGGAAAGCAAATCACTGGAAAAATGCATGTTAAAGCTTGACAGAAAGTATCGGGAGGAGCTTCAACAGAAATACAAACAAGCCGAGCTAATGATCTTTCACAAGAGCGGTGCTAAAGTTTGGCGACGCAATGTGAATCGCCGCAAACAGCGACTTGAGGAGATCGCTCTCGATTTGGAGATGAAGCGCCGATTGCCCGCTTTCCCTACGCCTATTATATTCTTCCCCACCATTCTGCCAAGAAAGGCCGATCAGCGACGAATAGAAGCTAAAAAGGAAGAGCAACGACAATATAAGGCGGAAGAGAGAATCGGAAACCTGCTCGCTCAAGCTGCAACACTACTTGCTTCCACGCCGGCAACAATTCTTAACACCGCAAGGGGAGCGGTGACAACACACGCAACAGTATGGGGCAACATATGACGGGGGTGACAACACGAAAGCACCATGCAGGCTGCCCCAAGCCCGGTCAGAAGGCCCCCTGAGTGGATCATGTCTGAGGCTCGTGGCCAAAGCCCTTCTTCTCTGCAAGCTCCATCACAATCCGAAGCTGTTCCTTAACCTGTGCAGTGCTGTTCTGTCAACAAGCACTGTTGAAGCTCTGCAAAACAGAAACGAAAGTGGCTGCCTGCTTCAGCATCTTCAACAATCGGACCTGTTCCTCCTGCAGCTTATCGTTCTCCTGGCATCGCTACATCTGAAGGACTGGACATGAGCCAAGCGAGCCTCTTGGAGAGCTGCGATCTGCTGGTCCCGCTTCTTGAGCTTTGCCTAAGGCAAGCGACGGGCAACAAAAACCCAAGACATTTGTCACCTGTCACACATGTCACACATGTCACACATGTCACACCGTTCACATGATTCACATGTGCCTTCAGCTTCTCAAGCTCTTCGGCTTTTGCTCGCAGCTCTTCCAGCTCCGCCAACTGTCGAGAAACACTTCCATGTCTCAATCGCGCACGCGCATTTCCAGCCTGCTGCTCCGTCAAGCCGCCTGGAACAGTCACCTAAGGGGAAGGCACTAACCCAAGGGCCCAAAGTGCAACTTTGATCGAATGATGGAGCTTGCTTCCCCACTTCTGCGGTCCGTTTCATCCAATGGAACAAGTGCTTCTGGAATCCACAACCGAAAGGAAGTGTACGCAAACTCGGGTGCCTATTGAGATTCTCTCTGTGCCAGCTGCCTGCTTGATCTCCGTGACTACATCGGGCGGTTTTTCCTCAGATTCGATGCAAATCCTTGATACGTGAGGGGCGGGACAATGCCGAGGCTGCCACACCCTTCATGTCCAGCGCTCGCTTCAACTCCGCGCTGAGGTCAGCAGCCTGCGGCGCAACTCTGTGAATGCATGGCAATCAAGCCAGGCATAGCCGCACGGCCCCGCGGCCCCATCCCCCGTCTGGACCTGTCCTTCTTCCTCTCTGCCTCAATCTCTTTTCGGAGCAGTTCGAGTTGCTCCTGTCAAGCAATTGCCTTACAAATAGCCATGCAATCAAGCTCGCCTGAGCTTTTCGGAGCAACTCTTCTGCCTCCTCCCTTTTCCTTCGCTCTTCCTGTGACAAGCCATGTGGCTTGGCAAGGCATGGCAAGTGTGAGACGAGTGCCTTCAGCTCCTCCCTCAGTTTCCGCATCGCGTCCTTCTCGGCCTCTTGGCTTCAAGGCCACGAAACTCGAAACACATCGAGGCAGCGGCTGCTGAATCGGATGGTGCAGCTTCTGGAGCCTCGGCTTTTTCCAAGAAAGTGGCAACCGGGTTGGAATTCGCCGAGGCAAACCGATGCCAGGTGGCCCCGGGTTTCGGCCGCTTCAATGCGGCAATCTCTTTCTGAGCCTAAGGCAAAGGCTCAAAAATCCGAAAAAGAATGGGAAGAGGCCATCAAGAAAGAAACGATCTGAGGTGCCTCTTTCAAGCGATTCTCCAACTCCTCGATCCGCCGCTTGGCCTCTGCATCTCAGATGCCCGGTTGAGCATCTGGCACACTGAGGCGGATACCATCTCCAGCTCAGAATCTGCGTCAGATCAGTCAATCGTCCACATACACGAAGCTACGGCTATGCGTACGGCATGCACAAATCGCTTTCAGTTTTGCCCAGTTGCTCAACTTATCGCTGTCGCCGCCAGTCTTGGACGCATCCTGGAGCTGCTTCCTCAGCCTCGAGGAGTGAGGACTGCGAAAGGAGCACGCAGGGAACGAACAGAATGAGCAAAGAAAAGAAGGATGAGCAAAGTGCATCTCAAGCCTCGTTTGATGGATTTTCGACTCTGGAAGCAAACAAGCGGGACCTGCGCATGTATGCCTTCTCTCGCAGTGTTGGGCGTTGTGCGAGCGACAAGAACAAGTACGCAGCCTGAATTGTATCTGATGACGGACTATTGGGCTCAAAGGCTCAACGAGTCACTGGCGAGAGCAAGGCACGCGCTGAGGCACAAGCTGAGAGAGCAAATCCTCTAACTTGGCTCTCTCTTCCTCACCTTAACGTCGGCTGACAGCTTACATGTTGTGTTGTGCTTCCGTGTCACCCACTCCCAAGCTCGCCATAGGCTCCTGCTGGTTTTGAGTTGCTGCTTGAGGCGTGCGAGTTCCTCCTACAGCATAGCAATAAGCATGGCGAAGCCAATGGCACACGACACACAAGTCAAGTGCGCTAAGACTGTTGCAGACTCTTCGTTGTTCGCAAGATGCATCGAGTTTCGGTACTCTTTGACCTGCAGAATAGTCGCATGAGTCGCATTGGGCCGTATGAGTCGTATGGGATCAACTGTCCAACATGCACAAGGCCTCCTTGCGCAAGTCATCCAGAGATTTCTCCATGGCTGCAATTCGCTGGGCAGCCTGCACAAAGGCAGCAGGTAACCCAAAACAAAGCGGGTTGCAAAGCAAGCTGGGGAAGAAAAAGCCAAAAAAGACTCATAGCTTGTATCACATGCCTTGAGCTTGCATTTTCCATCGCTGTCGTCGCGACCTGGCCTCCTCGGCTGCCTTTTCCAAGTCGCGGCATCTGGCTTCGGCGGCCTCTTGCTTCGCTCTTGCCTCCCGAAGTGCTGCCTGGAACGGAGACGGACTCTCTCCCACGTTGCTCCGCGGCTGTCTCAGCTCTAGTTTCCTCGAAAGAACACTTCAGGATTGTGCAAATCAACCGCAATGTGGGATGCAGTCTGTGCACCGTTCACAAGCTACCAAGTTGCTGGCTTGCGTGCGCGATGAGTCAGATCAATTCACAATCCAAGAAAGTCATGCCTTAAGTGCTGTTCAAAACAGGCATATCAAAAAAATATTGCTGCTCAATGCTGAAAAGCAACCTCGGAGATGCGTACATCTGGCTACCAGCCCAGGTTTTTTGATGGCTCCACACAATGCTGCGAATGCATACACGATACCAACAGCTCCAACAACGGCTACACTACCCTCTATGCAACATCTCTAGGTTACTGTTCAACTTGGTCATTGTCTGCAGGACTGCCGGCTTTCTTCCTGATCACTTCATTGAAGGTACGCACTCAGCACATCGCCCACTCTATTGCCCGATCTAAGTCGCACCTCGAGGTCAGCAATCTGCTTGCGTAGGCTGTTCACCAACCTTAGCTTCAAACGCCCTGTCCGTCTGCTCCAGCATCTCAGCATCTCAGCAGCTGGCTCAGTATCGTCACTTCTCTGAAATTCCTGAGAAGGAGAGACCCACTCAGGCCAGTGAAAGCGGCGCAAAGCTGCATGCTCTTTGCTCCAATAGCACACAAAGAACCGGACAGTGAGATCAACCGCCGAACCCTTCGCATTTGCGACGGCTATGGCGAGCTTTATTCTCACGATTTCCTGGCTCGTAAAGAACAACGCAGCCCATGCAATGCAAGTAAGCAAGTGAAAGGATGTGCTGCATACAAAACCTGAGCTAGCAGTCCTTAAAGTATTCACGTTTGTCGTGGTCTGAAAACCTGAGCGCCAGCAAAACTCGCAGTCTGCGCCAGGCAAACGAGCCACTTGGCCTGTGCCAATGAGGGTCGAACCAAAAATCTGGCCACCACAGCACCTTCTTGTAAGTGCCATCTAAAGCGATTTCCAGGGCCACCCGGACCATGGCCTGTGACACTGGGTCTGCTTTCAGTATGACAGGCTCGAGACGCGGCCTCGTTGCTGTGCTCCAGCAGAAGCCAGAGGGACTGCACAGACCGGGAACTTCGCAAACTTCGCAAACTTTGCAAACTTTGCAAAGAAAGACACAAGAAAGACACCAGAAAGAGTCTCAGAGTGCGCAGAACGAATGGCAGCGCGGCTCCTTGGCCACCTCCATTACCCTATGCAAGTCGGTGACCTAAAGCAGCACTGGACGGCAGGCCGGGATGGCACGGCATCAAAGGCATGCAAGACTCTGGGGAACAAACATTCTGACGCCACAGAAGCTCGTCAAACACCTGTGAGGATTGTGCGGATGCAAAATGCCGCAAGACACAAAATGCTGCTATGGCCTCCTCCTCCTCCTCCGGATTTTCGGGGTTGGCATTCCGCTCCATCTCCGCCCTGCCAATCTTGCATGCGCCGCCCGTAGTGAACATGCACACTGAGCACCGAGGTTCGAGCTTTATTCTCTCAGCTGCATTTAAACCTTGCCTCGGAACTCGCGATATGACAATATGGCAATGTTTGGCAAGGATGGCAATGGCAAATATGGCAATGGCAATACAATGCGCAGGATTGGCACAGGCACTAAGGCGCAACGGCCATGTCCGAGGGGCCACTGCAAGCGCAGCCATCCTGAGTGAAATGCTGAACTATAGGTCTCAATTCGAACATTCGCGATGCGATGGCTTGGCAAACGACGCTGCCCAGTCCTCAGTTTCCGACTCCTTGTGGCAACCTGCGTGCACCGAATTGCGGGGATTGCACGCACATTCGAAGGCAAACATAAGCGTGCCAAATCTGCTAGGTGCCCCTTCGGGGGTTGCCAAACATGACCATTAGCACACCTTGTGAAAGCCGAAATGCTACCGAAAAGAGCAAATGCAAGCATCCTCGAGAGAATGGTTGGCCTTGAAAGCTTGTGGTGTCTGAACCACTCCCAAGTATCTAACGAAACAGTGTTGTCTTGCAGCGCATTTCAGACTTGCTTGAAGCTGGTTTCGCAAACCAAAATCAAGCAACCAAAGCAAACTTCAGGCGTGTTGGTTTCAATGATGCTGGTGATGCCGGAAATGAGCCCTTTTGGTCACATCAAAACCTCCAGTGACATTAGAAATAATCCAAAATAAGGGTTGTCTGATGTTCGAAGAACGAAAACTACTCTGAGCATTGCTGTTCCCTCACACGGCATGTCAGCGTTGATATCATTGTTCAATGTTCTTGCGCAAGCAAGCCAAGGGCAACGGGCAAGCATGCTGCACATGCTACAGCGGCTTCACTTCCAACATTGCACGCACGCAACCCACTCAACATCGGCGCCCTGAAATGAGCACTGAAACAAATGGAGCAAAGACTTTGTGCCATCACCAGAATCCACAACACTGCAATAAAACGTTTACACGCACGGTCCATGGGTTTTACTTGGCAGCCGGATCTAATCCGGCAATCTGTAGTCAGCGTGCCCCTTAACGGCATCAACAAACTTTCCGACCGCTTTTCCTCTTCATTTGGAGGGAGACCAACCCACAATAAAGCTTGTTGTCTACACTCGTCCGTAGTCCGGCTTTCCCGTCTCCATATGAGTCTCTCTCTCCACAGGCAGGTGGGGGCAAGCTGATCACAGAATCAGGGAACGCAATAGCCCTTCCTCCCTTGTACGATCGAAGCCTCCACCGCCAGCCACCCATCAAACCTGAAGCACTTCAGCTCAAATATAAAACATGAAAAACGCACCTGCACCAGGCAGTCCCAATACGCGCTTCGGTCCCTCACTCCTTCACGGCCACGCTTGGCCCGCGGGAGAGCATGAAACCAGAAAGGTATCGCGAAATAACTCAACCGTCTGCACCCGGAGCGTGAGCACACCCCCTGGTCAACAATGCGTGTTCGACCACACCACAGGTGTGTTACCTGCAAGGGTGTGAAACAATGGAGAGGTACGCGGCGACAGGCCATGCAGTGCAAGACTTGCCCGCAAGGGCGCTGGCTGAGTCGTCTGGGGCCTAGCCTACCCAGGAATGCACACTCCGACGCGTTGGGTGGGTGGGCCTTAAAAACGAGTTCAATTCCTTGGGTACTGTCCCCGAAGGCTTGAAGGCAACGCGGCCAAAGATTCAACCAGAACTAAAACACGGGCTGGAACCCTGTTCACTGCTTCAAGCCAACAGGGAGAACATGAAACCCAAAAAAGGTGTCGCAAAATTGTTCCAGTCTGTGCTCGGGGCGCCCACGCAGCATCTGTAGGATGTAAAGTCAAAGGGGACTTTTGGGGCCAAAAGTCTTGCGACTTAAAGCGTGTTCTGGCTGACGGCCTATGCGCGCATTGTTCGCCGGGGATGTGAGATGCGATTTCTGACCACATGTGCTTGTGAGCCCATGCGGCCACACGCTGCATGCAAAACCGTCGCGCATCTTTGTGTGGATGACCTTCACTGCATGATTTCGACCCAACTCTCACACTACGAAGCACCCCCTGCTACTTACTTTGGAGAGCTGCGGCCGATACATGCGCAAAGGGAAGCACTGTGGGCACAGAGGGTGGTTTGTCTCCAGCAAGTCCGTAGCCTGGTTTGCAGAAACTCGGAGTGGTCATGTGGCCAAGATGCCATCCACGCTCGTCGGGATGCACTTGAATTTGTTGGGCCGCTTTATAGTCGAAACTAGCTCCGACGCAGGCGGCATGAGTGTCTTCTGGCAAAAAGGCAAGCCTGACATCGGGCTCCATGGGAAGGCTCATGCGTTCCGCCGCGCTGCAGTTTGGGTTCACCCCACACACCGTACTGTCAAGAACCAAGCGTGGTTCCTTGCCCCTTCTGCGCACACCGTTGAGCTTACCGACGGCTGCACCCTTTCGCCAATGCTTCCTGCTTGCTCCAGTGTCAGGCTTGCGCGGACCACCCACTGGTTGGCGATTTCCTTGTTTCAGTCCAGTTGCCATGCATTCGGATAGTTCGCGGGAATGCGGAAATGGCTCCGGTGGGTATGCCCTCTGCTCTCTTTGTAGAGGGGTATTATAACGCACCTACGGGTTAAGGCATGTTGCACTACTCCTATCTTGAACCCAAACCAGACCACCCAAAAGAACAAAGCAAGTCCAAAGCGGCCGCAGTTCTTTTAACCGGGATTGCTGAAAGTAGCACTGCTTCCAGGGCACGGATGCGCCTGGAGCAGGAGGTGCGTTGACCCCCCCTTCAGTGTTTCAGGCAACCCCGGTATAAGCGAGCCAGCTGGGCCGCCGGCCTCATCACCCCCCCTTCAGAGTGGGGTTGTACCTGGCAGGGCAAATGTTGCGCGACATTGCATTTACATGCTTGTGAGCATTTGCTGTTCTGGGACTGCTCATTTTCGCCAAAGCGGCTTGCTGTGAAGCTGCTGACAGATGCAGCCAGATATTCTGGTTGCCAGGGCGATGTCGGGTCGCGACGCCTGTTGGAAGGCAGCAAGGCTTGTCTACACGCCGCTGGCAGCAGCTGCTAGGTGTTCCGGGCGCCAGGGCGCATCAATCGGACACAGCTGGATGCCTCTGCCTGACAGCGCAAGGCCTGCGGGGCTGAAGCGTACGCGACTCTCTGGGCGATGGCTGAATCGGGCTAGCCGACCTCTGCTTAGGTCGTCTGCCCAATCATTGTTCCTGCCTGGAACATGTGTGGGCTGCAGCAACACATTGCGCGCATGCGCCCAGAAGGCTGTGAGCTGCACGAAGAGTTGCAGCGGCCAAGAAGTCGTGAACAACTTGTTTTGGCTTGCTTCTGTTGCCAAGTTATCAGTGCCTGAAGGCATGCTGAATGAGTAGCGCCCACCACCAATGTGGCTATGGGTGGCCTGCAGCAGTGCCAACTGCGCCAGCGTTTCGAAACATGCGATGTAGCGCTGTCCAGGCTTGACAAGGCAAGGCCATACTGCCCGTATGTCCTGCATGTTCCAGGTTTCGGCAAACCAAACCACTTGTGATGAAGTGATTGCCCAGCCACCTACACCTACCAAGTCGCCTTCGGCACAGGCATCTGCGGCTGCCAGTGCCTGCAGCTGGCGCGGCCGTGCCAAGGGCTGAACTGGCGAGTGCTGGAAGCACGAAGCTAGCCACGTAAGGCATTGCTGGCTCGACTTGGAAAGGCTAGTATAAGGGTTATTTGGATCTGAGACACGTACCCACGTGGGTTTGCTGGTGCCTGGCACACGCGGGACGTCCTGAGGGCAATGCATGGGGCGGCCTGAAATTTCGAGAATTTTGGAGCCTGCGATCCAAAGGCTGGGAAGGCTATGGCTCCTTGTTCAAGGAGGCTCTGAAGGCTGACCACAGTTGCGGTACCGAGCGATCAAGCCCGGAGGGCTGTTGAGATCAGAGTAGAGAGGCGCTAGCCAAGATCTGAGACGCAAGGCAATGCTGGTGGCCCAAATGAGCAGGCCTATGCACTGCTCGAGTGTCTTACGTAGTACTCGTTTGCTTCCCAGCAATGCTTTGATCAAGGCGTCCAGCTTCAGCTTAGCGGACACAAGCTGAATGGTATCGTGGGAGAAGTTGATCTCCCAGCCACACCAAATGAGGCTGTCCTGAAACTGCGCCTTTTTCCACGAAATGGGCGCAGCAATTGCGCAGAAGAACAGCACCACTAAGGCGAAATGTCTGAAGCCTGCTCGGACGAGTGCGCACAGCAGGTCGTCCACGAAAAGGAAGGCTTTGTGGGGCTTCCAAGCCAACAGCCCATGCACTTGGCGGAGTAGAAACGCGCCAGTGCGTTGCCACCAGAATGCCGAGAAACGGCCTCCGAAATGGCACACTCTATAATGGTAGAGTTTTTCCTGAAAAGCAAACAGTAAAAGGCCATGCTCTTCAGGGCGGACCTGCACCTGTTTGCGCGCGGCTTTGAAGTCAATGCTTGCCCCCACAAAGGCACCTGGAGTGTCTTCTGGTTGCGCGGACAGCGCCTGGTCGCAGGCTGAGGCGCTCTGATAGGCGCCACCTGGTGTTGACTTGGCACACGGTGCTGTCCAGGACAAGGCGAGGCTCTTTTCCTTCTGCAAAGACCACATTTAGTTTGCCTACGGCGATACCCAAAGGCCATTTTTTCCGAGCTTCGGCAAGGCTAAAGGCCGGTTTCTACGCTCGTGAATAGTTTTGCTGTCCAGCAATTTTTGGCGTTGCGACGGCGAAAGGCCGGGCACCCCGTTCATGTGTTGCGGCGTTCTCAAGGCTTTGGGTCCGCCTGCACGCAGCTTGAGTCTGGAGTATTCTTTGCAAGGCGGGGCAAGCGTGATCAACACCACGATTCCTGACCAACACAGTCTGAGAAGCGCTTCAAAGGCTTCGTCGTCCAGTATGTCATGCGCGGTGTTGCCGTCCAGATCAAAAGGCTCAAAACAGTCAAGGCCAAGGCTTATGGCTGCTGATGTCACCGGGTGCAGCTTACCCGAAAACACGTCAAGGCCGAATGCAACGGCGGTTCTGATGAGCTGGCGTTATCGGGCGTGTGCTGCCCTGACTTTGTGCCAGGCGATATTGTGGTACGAGCAGGGCAAGGCCGGAGTTGTTTGTTATGGTCCATGGCAGGGTGCTTCTGCTGACAGCCCATGATGGCGCACACATGGGCGAAACGGCACTGGTCGTTAGTACAAAGGCCTGTCTGATAGCGTCGGCAGACTTCGCACCCTTTGTATGTGGTGCGCCACTCTGCTTTGGGCTTGGACGCGGGCAGGGCTCCTTTGGACTTCCCCTTTCCTTTCTTGGGTGGGCGTGAAGGCTCGCGGGTTGGCTTAATATCGCGCTTGGGTTGCCTTTGCCGCGGTGTTCTTGGACATTTTAGGGCGCAACTGCAAGAGGCTGCGCACATCGTTTCTCATGCGCGTTAGCTCGTACAAGGCATCGTCCAG